CCGACATCGTGGTTCAGCTGGAAGATGCGAACACATTTGAACAAACAAAAATTGCCGAAAAAGCCTAATGGGGATCATTTCAAAGCGTGGAACTACTTCTTTCCTGTCACAATAATCCGTCCAATGTACAATCAGAAAAATACCAAATATAAAGGGTGGAAAATAGTAGAGCGAATGGGACTTTTAGTAAGATAAAGATTTCTATCCTTCCAGAAATTCTTCCCAAACATTCAAGATAGGTCATGATATCGATCATAACTCACGGATAAGGGACAACCCGATTTCATATTTATATAACCATCGTATGATTTAAGCTATTTTTGGTGTCTTGGTCACTTTTTTAATATTTTAGCCATTATTTGGCATTTTTGTTTCTAAGGAGGTAGAGAACCTCTTCGCATAAAGTTTGAAATTTTCAGAGTAGGGCCCATTTTGGTCTTGACCACATTCATTAATTGACTTGGCTAAAGATTGTATTTATGCTACTCTGGGGTAGGGAACCATCATACAGATAATTGCCACATAGGAATTTATTTAAGTAAAGTCCCCACATTGGCGTATTCCCAAGTCCACTTTCACATCTAATTGGTGGTCAGAAAAAAAATGTTGTTTTCTATTGAATTTGTAACCCCCAAGAGAATATTGGTTGGGCCACGTTTTGGTATAACCCTTATATAAATGTATCCCTGACCTGACAGCTGTGACCGTGGTCTTGGCCACGTTTTTCAACTGATTTGGCCATTATCCCCATATAGTCCCCAGGCCCGCCGATCTATAGTGATGTTTACCGATTGATGGACAACAACGCGGGTATTGTTTAATCGTCATTGAATTTTTCTATGAACAAGAACATAGACTTTTTGGGGACTCTAATGCGCAATTTAAGGTGCTATGGTAATGGGTGTAAAAGCGTAATTAACTTTGACTATTCAGAAATTATTTTGCCCTCCTTCCATAGTTATTTATTTCTATTTAGTCGAATCAATATTTATATTAAAATTTGTTCACCTTTATGAGCTAGATTTGTGAAATATTATGCTATGCAAAATTTGCATTAAATACTGAAACTACGGGCCGGCAACGCGGACCGGGCCAGCTAGTACCAAATATATTCAGCATTTTTTGAACAATTGTAGTACACAATTTTTAAAACCGTCTCCATATCTAGACCACAGACACCAACAGTGATTTAGGATTTTAGCTCTTTAATTTCCTCCATTACCAAATTTAATACCATTTAGAACAATTATAATACGCATATCTAAAACCAGTTCCTACTCTCAACCACAGACACCAAAAGTGACATCCACATTAAATTTCAGGGTTTCAGCTCTATTCCTTCAACGAATACAAAATGAAGTCATATTTGGTAATTTTCGTACAATTATAGTACACATTTCCAAAATTACCAAAATATCTCAAACTTAGATACCAAAAGAGATATCAATGTCAAATTTCGGGATTTTCAGTTCTATTCCTTCACTCAATACCAAATTTAGTACCATTTAGTACTTTTCGTACAAATGTAGTACAAATTTTCAAAACCACCTCCATATCTCAATTCCAGATACCAACGGAGACCTCAATGTCAAATTTCCGTATTCCAGTTCTATATCTTCACCCAATACCAAATTTAGTTTCATTTGGTACCTTTCGTACAAATGTACGCATTTGCCGAATTACAAGCACAGATACCATAATTAATATTATTTTCGAGTTTCAGAATTGTATATCTTTCTCTTCACCCAATACCAGATATATTTAGAAATTTTCATACAAATTTAGTAGAAATTTTCCAAAACATGCGTAGCCTCCAGGCTACACATGGACAACTACCCAAATACCAAATTTCAGATTGTAGCAAATATAGGACTATTTAATACTTTTTGTTCACTTTTATTGCACGTTTCCAAAACCATCTCCTTGTCATAAATCCACCACCAATAGCAGAAATTTTCCAAAACATGCGTAGCCTCCAGGCTACACATGGACATCGACCCTAATACAAAATTTCCGATTGTACCAAATATAGGACTATTTAGTACTTTTTGTTCACTTTTATTGCACGTTTCCAAAACCAACTCCTTGTCATAAATCCACCACCAATAGGGAGGAAAATACAAAATTTTAAAATTCCAGCTTCATCCCTCCACTCTAAACCAAACTCTTACAAATTTAGTACGATTTAGTACAGGTCGTACACATAGTACACAATTCCAGACCCTCCTTCATCTAAACTTCTAAACTTTCTTCTCCGTTTACATAATACCAAATGGTACCATTTCATTTCTTGCACTTTATCAGTGACTTTCATTGCAAATTTTCGAATTCTAGCTCATTTCGTTTGACCAATATTCAATTTTTAGTCCGTTCCAGTACATTTCGTGCCCTATTAGTACGAATTCAAGCCTTTTCACACGCCTACGTACCTTTGTGCCAAATTTCAAGATTCTAGCTTCAGCCGTTTCACCTGGTCATTGTCAGTCAGCCAGTTATTTCACCACTCTTTTATATATATGGATAGATGAACCAAGTGAACCGGATACTCCCGTTGTGAGTTATCTTCCACGAAATCCAGCCAGACAGACGGGTTGACACCCCTTAGATCGACTTCAAATGTCCTGAAGCGGATTTGATCCAAAGAGTCTTAAGGTACAAGTACATAAAAAGCTTGAAGTCATGGCTAGGCAATTTTGTAACATTTCATAAAGGGATTACAGAGCCGCACTAAAATCCTGCCGTCGTTTTCCATTATAATTTGACATTAATATGCCTAGCCATGACTTCAAACTTTTTATGTACTTGCACTCTTAGGGCGTAAACCCGTTATTTTAATGAAACACGTTTTGGCCATATCAAATGATATATAAATGTATCCAGCTGAGGGTATAATAATAAATTTAAATAAATCAACTCAATGTATCAATTTTAATAAAAGTATCACAAAATCCATGATAGACACATTTTTGATTAAATTTCATTAAAAGATGAAAGAAAAATATTGAAATGGCAACATTCACTCTCAATATTCATAGACAATATTTATCTGATAGATAATTATTGTGAATTAACTAAATGGTGTGTGTCCTTGCTAAGTAAATCACAATAATTGCATAGTATGTATGCGCCGTAAGGTATGCTTTATATTCAAACACTTTGTTTTGATTTCACGTATGAATATTACAAGAAAATGAAATGAACTCATAACTTGGAATGTCATTCCCATTGTAAAGTAGCAATAATATAATATAGAGAACATTAAACCGACAAAGAAGTTTAGGATGTGTCGTGTATAAATATTTCTTATCATCATTTTTTCTCGACAATATATTGTATGGTAGTTATATTTATATATATACATACATTTCATATGTCCCACACTAGCGTGAAATTCTAAGATGATTTCCAAGTTTGCCTCTCTGAACAAACACCCTAATCATTCTAAGTTTTAAATTTCGAAATAGAAGCATTTTTTTTTTTTTTTTTTTTTGAGTCGAATAGAGACATTCTGTGCGATTTGGTCCAAACTTGATAGTTTGTAATATTGTTACGTTAAATCGAGTTCGAAGTTGCGAGATGTCCCACTCCTTCCGGTACCTCTCTCACAAAAGATAGCAAATTTTTAAACAAGTTAAATTTTTATACCCTCCACAAGTTGGAAAAAATTTGCAACGTGTAAAATAATTCCCTTGATAAATGTCGTTATAATTTTAAAAAATTACGAATTTCATGTGTTACATTTATATATGTATGGGCAAATTGCCATAGGAGATAGTGCCATCTGCGAACTATAAATTCCAGTAAAAGATGTCAAAAAATGTTCAAAATACCGAATGTAGGAAAATATTATCAATATTATCTGAGAATCACTTTCTGAGTCGATTAAGCATGTCAGTCTGTCAGCCTGCCCATATATTTTTGTGAACAAAATGCAGGTCACATTTTTTATCCGATTGAGATGAAATTTTCCAAACAATATTTGTTTAACCCAAGGACGGGTTAATTGTGCACAAAATGGTCAATATCAGTCCAAATTACCTCAATTTTGGCACATCCGACCAAATTTAGCCTAGAAGCAAGTACATTAAATACAGCTATAGCTCCCATTTATATGTTTCATCCGATTTGTCTCTTACATGCGTAATATGCACTCCACAAGAACGATATTTGGTACCGGGCATCAGATACTGCTCAGAAATAAGTGTTAAAAATTTTGTCAAAATGAGTTCTGATTTGGATATAGCTTCCATATATCTTTATCCGATTTCATATTTTTTTGCGCTAAACTGCTCTTATCAGCCCAAATGGAGTGAATTTTGGCAATTCCGACTAAGTTCATCCTAGGAACAAGAACTTCAAATTTGGTGAAAATCGGTTCACATATAGCTATAGCTCCCATATATATGTTTCATCCGATTTGCTGTTGAAGTTGCTCACATGAGTAATGTGCACAATGATGTTTGATACCTATGCCAAATTTTATTGAAATCGGTTCATATTTTTATATAGCTTCGATACACATATTCATCCTATTTTACGGTTATTGTTCACCATAAATGTAATATCAGCCCAAATTGGATAGATTTGTTCATATTCAAACGAATTTTTCCATTTGGGGAAACTCGGTCCGGTATATCTATTGCTCCAATAAATATTTGTTAATATGATTCCTATAGAAGTCATAACATGCACAATACAGCAATGATATTTGGTACAGAGGTACAAAAGACTCCGTCAAAATTGTAGAAAATCGACTCAGAGCTGGATATACTCGTAGTTTCCAAGTAGGGTCTACTCTAAAGCCATGATACGCATCTAAAAAGGTCCATAGTTGGTATAATCTACTTCATATATAATTTCCTAATATAATTTTTTTTTGTTACGGGTGTAGGGTAACATATAGTCGGCCCCGCCCTACATTTGACCTTTGTTTACTGGTTGATAGAAACTCTTCTTGTTACGATACATATTTTAAAATATATTTTATTATTTACTAACACTTAAACAATAACTAAGATATATAATTACATATATTCATATCACATATATTTACATATGCATAGTTTTATTTCACTTTTTTCTCTTTCTCCCCCTTTGAGGATTTCGCTATCAGTCTTTTCAATTTGCGAACAATAATCACAGGCACTGCAATTGCCAGTACCAAAGCCGCCACTACACAAGCCACAATATCCAACAATAGATATTGATATAACGGCATGTAGGCACCATTCGATTTCAAAAATTGAGCACCCTTATATTTGGCCACATATTCAATCCAATAGGTCGCTTCATCCAATGGATGAATGGGATTATCACGGAATTTTTTTGAAATTTCCACAGCCTTACGTTTATATTTAGAATCTGATGTTAGGGCTTGAATGCTCAGTTGTAAATCTTCGGAGGTCATTTTAGAGAAATCCAAAGATAGAGCATAACCGGCTCTCACCGATTTCAAGGTGTTGCGATGTTGATCCCCGTACAAAGGCATACAAAGCATTGGCTTGGCCCAATAGATACCCTCCTGAGTGCCAAATATGCCACCATGTGTTATGAAAAGTTTGACATTCGGATGAGCTAGGATGTCATTTTGGGGCATCCATTTGCGTATCATAACATTAGGTGGGAGGTTCGACAGCGATTCATTTTCATATTTCCATAAAACGTTCTGCTTTAATTTTCCAAAGGCATTGAGAATGACAACAATGCGCTCGGCCGGCACATCGGTACTTTTGACATAGGAACCCAAGCTGAAGTAGACCACACCATTGGGGGAGTTGTTAATAAAATTCTGGAAAAGATTTGAAAAAAAAAAATATTACAAAGGATTTGTTTTTCAAATGGTACATCAACAAAGACGAACGGGGAAGGGTTCATAGGAATCTTATCTGGTGGTGGCAATGCAACATGTTTGAATGGAAATTGGTGAATGAGATCGTACAAAGAAAACCCTTAAATCCTCGTTCGTCTCTGTAAATGTACCATTTAAAAAGACAGTCTGTTTCATTGGCGCCCAACGTGGGGCCACGGGCAACATAGTCTAGGAAGAACAAAATAACTTTCATTAATCAATATTCGATTTGTTTACCTTGAGATCTTGTGGTAAGGGTTTCGATGGTTTTATATGGGCTCCACCCACATCGATCAGTCCTGGCATACTGGGTCTGGGTAAATCGGTACTCCTGTGGCTATTTATGAGCATCAAAGAAATCTTCTTCTCCAAATCTCGGACATTAGGCAGGGGACCTAGAATAACAAAAAATAATTAGAATTCCTTTAGAACTTCTTATTCTCTTCTTCTTCTTCTTACCCCTAATGTGAGGACCAAAATGCCTCTCTGCCATTTCCTGCATTCTCGGCATGTAATACCATCTTCTCATCACCGCATCATAGAGCGACAAATATACATTGTAAAACCTTTGCTTGAATGTCATTTGATCACTGTACGATAATAACAGATGTGGTATCACCGACCATGGTGTCACCAAACCCATGGAATGATCCATATTATCCGCATAACCCATGGTACCAATTGTCACAATCGGACACTTGAATTTGTGACCAAACATCAGGAAACTTTCATGGAAGAATTGCTCTATAATTATCAAATCGAATCTTTGATCCTTGGAGGCAATTAATGCCTTCACCTTGGGATCGTTCAGGGCATGTTCACTTGTCCACTCGCCAACCTTCCACCACATTTGCAAATTTTGAAAATCACTTGAGAAACGCATTTTGAAAATGATTTCTTTGGGAACTAGGAAAGGAAGTATAGAAATAATAAATGTGGGTGAAGTTGTATGGTTCCGTCAACTTACTATATGCGGGTATATCGAACTTAGGATCAATAATGATTTCAGTCAAATTGGCATGGGGCTCTTTGGTTGGATGATTATTAATTGATGTCACGGAATGTCCTTTCTCTAGCAGGTCCCTTTGAAAGTGCTCCAACCACATCCAGTGACTGGGAGCCGGAAATGGTCCCATAAATAAGATTTTATATGCCTCACATTCATTTAGAATCAATATCATACAGATTATTCGAAATATCTTATAGAGTACCATCTGAAAAGGAATAAGAAATAATTTGTATATTTTAGAAATTATCTGGAAAAGACGAATCATGTCCTTAAAGATATCCTAAAATTTTGATTCTAAATTTTTTTTGTTTTTTTGGGTCTTCAAACTGTTTGGGGCTTAAAAGAGACTAAAATTTAAAAAGATCAATGTGTCAATTTCTTTCAAAGAAATATAAAAAATCTATGAAAATGTTATTTTTTTTTAATTTTTTAAGTTTAGGTTCTTCAAAAAACCTGGTAATTTTATTAAAAAAATACATTATTTGAGCTAAAAATTTTAAGGACCAAAATATGTAAAAAATCCCTGATTCGGTTTCAAATGGAGATTTTCCTGAATGGAGATTGTCCCGAAAATTTATTAAAAATACATCATTTCGATTAAAATTTTAAAAAAATACAAGGTGGCGCAATCATAATCCTCCAGAAACTGCTATAAATTTTACGACTGGTTGATTCTAAAAGAAGTGCTGGACAATTCCGTAGAAAATGTACTATTTGGCATAGATTTTGATTCTTAGAAAGTCCTGAAAAATTCGTGAGAAAATTGAATTTGTGTTCTTAGAATGATTGAGAATCAATGCCCAGATGAAACGGCTGAAGCTGGAATCAGTCTTGATGGGCAGGTGTGTGATAATGCAGGGTTTTTGGACAAACGAAATGCAGTAGAAGAATTTGAATTTGAAATGAGAGTCTCTGATGGAGTGCAGGAGAGACTTGCCAAATGTTTTTTTTTTTCTTTTTTTTTTTTGGAAATTCCAACTTTAATGTTATGAATGCATAGAGCTACAAACTTGAAATTTAATATGAGACTCAAGGTTGGATAGTAAGTTTGACATAGGATGGTGGTTTTGGAACTGTGTACTAAGTGTGTGAACCAAGTGACACTAAATTTGGAACGGTTTTTGAGATTTGAGATTAAGGTCTCTGTTGGTATCTGTGATTGGGATATAATTGTTTTTAAAATTGATTGATTGATGATTGTTTTAAAACTGTACGATTTGAAAGAAATGTCACTATTGGTGTCTGTGGCTAAAATATGGAGGTAGGTTTGGAAATGTGTACTATATTTCGTATTGGGTGAATAAATAGTGTTTGAAATATCAAAATTTGATATAAGGATTGATGTTCATGTGTAGCCTGGACATATGGTGGTGGTATTGAAAATATGTACTATAATTGTTCGAAAAGTTAGTGGTAATAAATTTGGTATTAGTTGAAGGAATAGAGATAAAATTCTGAAACTTGATGTTTAGATTACTGATGGTACCTGTGTTTTTGCGACTTGGCGGTCGTTTGGAAGTGTGTAGCATAATTTTTCGAAAAGTACTAAATGGTAAAAAATTTGGTATTGGGTAAAGTGATAAGGCTGGATTACTCAAATTTGAAATAGATGTTGTATCGTTTTATGAGATTTGGCGATGGTTTAGAAATGCTTTATATTTGAACGAAAAGTACTAAATGGTACTAAATTGGTTATTGGGTGAAGGGATTGGATAAAGAACCTATAAATCTCAAAAAAATGCAAAATGCAACAAAATTTGCCATTGGGTGTTGGGATAGAGACGGAATGGAATAAAATTTGGTATCGAGGTCACTGTAAGTGCTATGGTGGAGAGAGGCAGGTGATTTTGGATATACTTTGTATAATTGTGCGAAAAGTATGGTAATAAATTTGGGATTGGGTCTTAGGATAGAGCTGAAATTTGATATGAAAGCAAATGTTGGTATATAGTTTTGAGAGAAGGAGGTGCATTTGGGATTGCGTACTATAATTGTACTAAATGTTACTAAATTCTGTAATGTGGGTTGATGTTGAGATATGAAGATTGCTTTGAAAATGCACATTATAATCTAATTTTTTTTCGCTGAAGGGTCCATAATTTAAAGTCTTGAAAAATATTTTTGAAATACCACAAGCTGAAGTTCAGAAAAATGAATTTAAGGAACAAACAAAAAAAAATGCGTTTTTATAGGTTCTCATTGAACTACCACTTGTTTCCTTAAAAGATTTTAGTTTTGAAGTTTTGAATTTTTTTAAAAACGTTGAAAAAATCTTCAACAAAACAAAAGGCTCAAAAATCAGGCATTCATAACTCTTTAAAAAAACGATTAGGAGACGGAATAAAAATGGAAATACGTGCTAAAAATGTTCTTTGACATGAATATTCTAATAAAAGGCTCCAGCAAACAAATATTGGCTCTAGTATATTTTTATATCCAACAACACTATGTGTTGGGGGATATTATAAGTTTGATTGGGCCAAAAATTATGTAACACCTCGAAATATTGATTTCCCACATAGGAAAGTATATATGGATCTTCCTATCTCGCCGAGTTGAGTCGATCTAGCTATGTATGTCCGTCCGTCCGTCTGTCCGTCTGTCCATGTTAATTTGTAATCACTCTACAGGTCGCAATTATGGCCCGATCTTCACGAAATTTAGAATGGAGGTGGGGCTAGGGTCAGAATAGAAACCTATTCCTTTTGGAGATGTTCGCATAATATTTAGGGGTCGAAATGGACCAAAAACTGAAAAAATGTCGGATTTTGAAGTAGCTATACACGTCGCAATTATAGACCAATCGACGCGGAACTTCGCATGTAGCTAGAGTTTAGGGCGGGGAAGAAGCCTACCAATTTGGGTGGTCATTGGATAATATTTAGCGGGTAAAATAGACCATATCTTTTGTGTTGAAAAAATTCAAAATTTTTCATTAAACCGCGAATATTTTAAATCCCGGCAAAATCACAAAGCCATGACAAGGTTACTTCTGATCTTTACATTGATGTTAACATCCAACAAAACGGATATATAGCAAAATGTTTGCGATATATATGTCTATCAAAGAAGATATGCTTGAAAGATCTCTTATATGTCGAGAACGGCTGAACTGATTTCGACAGTTCTCATTAATTTACAATGGCCTCTTGGCAGGAAAGAAACAACGTCTAAAAAATTGCATACAAATATCTCTCTAAAGATGAAAATATTGATTTTGTAAAATTTTCTCATTTTTTTCAATTTTGTCACATTTTTGTCATATTTTCATTTTGAATTAAACATTTGGTAATACTTCTACAGCTAAAAAAAACTAAGTAGTTAGGATATCATATGCAGATCGCATTTATGGCCCGATCTTAACGAAATTTTGCATGGGGATCAGATGAGGGTCAGAATAGAAGCCTACACTTTTTGGAGATGATCGCCATATATTTAGGGGTTGAAATGGACCAAAAAAACTGCAAAATTGGGGGGTTACCGGGCATAGCAAAAGCCAAGCAGTTTTGGATGGCCATCCAAAAATATTCAATGTGCGAAATAGTTTGCCAACTTTTGTAGACAAAATACGAAAATGACCATTCCAGTGACTTTTTGGAGAATTCACAAATACAGGAAAGACGCACTTCTGACTATTTCGTTAACGCTGATTTCGTTGAAGAATATAGTCAAATGGCTGTATCTCATATAGATGCGTTTCAGTCAAAAACCAATAATAAATGTTAATCTTTTGCCACTTCTGAGAGATTATAGGTCTTTGGGAAATATTGGTTCCAGATCTAGGAAGACCATTTACGTGCAACATCTTCCAATAAATTGGAAATGAGCAAATTAGTTAAAGTTGCTATTATTCGAAAATTAGAGAACGAAATCTGATGGTTTTCTTTTATTATTTGTCACAATATCTTGTGGAATTCTTTCGAGTATCTCGCCTATATAAACTGTATCGTTTATTATAGTGTTGTAGGGTATTCAACGGTCGGCCCCGCTCGACTGTAGCATTTGCTTACATGTTTTTATTCTATTTTTCAAATTTTGTAGTGTCGTTTGAATTTCCGTGAATTAGTCAATCAATGAGTCTGTCATTATTTGACAATTTATTTTGCATTTTTTCCAACCCTATTTCACACATCTCATATGACATTTGATATGAAGAATTTTACCCAGAAATAGCGCATTTTCTTTCCATCTACCGGAATCGCATCAGATCTCATCGCTCACACATCGCTGCATCGCACTTTATTCGCATTCGTATTATATTTCATTTTTATTAAGCGGTCAAAAGCAAAGCACGTTATCGTTGTACCTTATCAATATTGTCACAGTTTTTTTATATTTTTTTTATTCTCAATTGTTTTATAAGTGTTGGCTAAACATTTCAAGAAATTCCCCCACCCTTCGGTTGCTTGACTCAAATGCATTGTCAAAGGTTTGCAATTTACCGATTAGCATTTATTTGACAACAATTGACAGTCATCCATTTGCACTATTTTCAATGTCACAACAAATGTAGGCAAATATATACATTCAATTGTATTTGCAAAAGCAACACAAATAAAATGGATGATGACTATGCAATAAAAAAAAAAAACAAAATATTGAAATAAAAAAAAAAAAATACCAAAGCAATAAATGCTAGCCAAAGTTTAATGACCACACGGTGTTATCTGCAAGACAAGACTTCTATTTTGAATCGTGTATTATTTTTATTTGATTTTTATATTAATGCTTTTACATATGTATGTGAGTTTAGTTATGAAATTGTATGATAATTTGATTTATGATTATGAATATATAATTTCTTAACACTACCTGATTCCTTTTATATTTGACAATGCATTATGTGGGACAAATGTTTTAGTAAATAATGTTTCTACACATAATTACTGTTACAACGTATTCAAATGAAGCTTTTTGTTATTAAATTCAAAAATAAAGACAATTATTTGATTTTTATACGATTTCGATTTCTTAGTCACACCAAATGTGAAGAGAGTTAATAAAACAAGTAAAAAGGCAGTTGCTGCACTTTTGATACCCTCCAACATTACCGAAAGTAGTATCCCGTTTTTTCGATAGTTTATATTCGAACGTTGTATAGGGGTTTCGAGAAGCAAACTACATCCATTTAGAATTGCAAATTTACCAAATATATTCCCAATAGATATACGAGTATTATTGCAAAAAATTCTTCTTGGAAGAACG